AAATCATAGAGTCACATGTTACATTCCTTGGCAAATACAAAAAGGTTATTGTCTTTCACAAGTGTTCGGCAATATGACAGAATAATAACCGCATATTGTTTATACCTATCACTTGCATATGCATGATAGGACATACATTTCGAGAAGACTAGTCTATCTGAGCTAGACACCAAGATCATTTTATTCCATCATGTGAATGTAGGTGTGGGATGTATGGATGTAGATATGATGTTTGCATCTCACATCTATTTCTTACCTGCTACCCAAACCATTCCATATGTCGAGAAAGTATAGCCTATCAAAAAATAACACCAACATGTTACATTATATCTTATGAGTCATTGATAAAAGAGCTCGAATAACAATCAAGAATAATATAGTTTAAAATTGTACAATTGCAAATTTATTTCAGAGAGCAATTATGTTCGATTTAAAAAGTATGAAAGTAACTGTATTGGTTGAATACACTGTATCATTTTATGACGACTTTTAAATTCAACATTTTAATACCAATTAACTTCCGTGGAATATAAAATGAAGAAAAAAGTATAAAAAAATATTAACAACGCAAAAACATTTTCAACTTTCACCTTATATGTTTTAGAGAAAAGTATTTACATCAATGACCATTATTTCTCGTTTGGTTTTTAAATACATTTTATTTTAATCTACTTTACAGCTTATATTTCCTGATTACATAATCTTAGGAGAAAAAGAAGAGTAATGTTTGTGTATTATACTAGTTCAGATGCTTACACATTCAAGTACATCATATTTAAATGATTCTAAATGATATATTACTGTACATTAAAATCATATCTATCGATTGTATCGTCATTTTATTCGTCTACAAGATTAAGTCATGTCTACGAATAACAAAAAAAAAGAATTTAGCTAGCTGGCTCGTCATTTAAATTACTTAAAATATTTTAATCATTTTTTTACTTTAAACTATCAATAATTGAACATTTATCAATTGTTTCAACAAAAGATCCTGTTGATTTTTTCATTAAATATAAATTCTCGTAATGTTTGTTATTCTATTCAAAATCAAAATTATGCTTAGTTTTGTTTTTCAGAATAAATATTTAAATTTAACCAAGAATATAATCTTTTCCTTCATTATCTTTAATAACTTCTCTCAATGTAATTGAATCCAACATAGTTTCAACTGTTCGATCAAGATATTTCATATTCATTCAACTATTTAAATCAATAAAACAATTAATAAGAGAAAAATCACTTAATGAACACGTGGTATATGAAACTACACCTTCCTAAATTGAATCTGACCCAATACTATCTAGTCATTTACACATATTCGATGATTGTCTGCTTTTCACTTTATCACAAAAGATTTGTAATTCAACCGAGCAGAGTTCTGTTCAAGTATTCATGTGAATATGAATTTATTCAAATAAAAGTATTTTCTTGTATTTTTTAATTTCGAGTCTATGCCAGACTCAAGTGTCCAAAGTTCTTCTGTCATGTCATCTTACGATAGTCATATTCTGATTGATTGGGTTAATTTAAATCTTTATTGAAATTATAAACCAATTCTTATTCGTTACTCAATATAATAATTAGTTAAATTATGGTTCATGAGAAAAAAAAACAGTTTTTTTTAAACTTTCTTTTCCTATTCTGTTGATAATCGGTCGACCTAAATATTTTTAGATGATGGACTTCTTTAGTCTGAACGATAATACATGATTTTTCTTTTTTATTAAGACAAATTAAATTTCTATACAATAGAACTATATGACAGTTTGTATTACAATGGAAAATCGAAAATATGAACATTATAGTTTAAAAAGAACAGATGTTTTTAGGATTTCAAATATTCATCTAAAAGATGTTCATGATGACAGAAAGCCTGTCACTGCAATAAACTATAAATAGAAAAGTATTGTCGTTACCAAATTGTACTTTTAAAACAATATCTTCTCACAGCGATGAATATGTAAAATTATAAATTCAAGCGATGTCTTTTTTGTAATTTTTACAAAAAAAAAACATAAGATTCAATGAAAATTGTAAAAAATACTGACCAAAACATTGAACTATGAGACCATCATCACGATAGTCTGAGAAATGTTTAGGATGTGTTAACTGCTAAATAATAATAGTCTCAAAAATTATCTCATATCTTGAGAACGACTATCGCATATGGATTAAAAATTTCATTCAGACGAGCTCCACATCCAAAAGTTTTGAACTCAGCGGACTCGACTTTAGGGTAATATCTCATCATGCGAAATAGATTTTTCTTTTTTTTTTTTTTATTGGCTACGAATTATGTTTTTCATATACAATATAAATATTTAGCTTGATTCTTTTTTCTTTTTCGGTAGACTTTCTTACAGCTATGCAGTAAGAAGTATGATGGATACATAAAGGGTCGTCACTTGATACTGACAACAATAGATAATATTCGACAAGCACCGACCGATATACAAATAAGAAAACAAAAAAATCGTAGCCTAATATATATCATTGTGTTTTCTTTTCAACGATGTTCGTGTTAATAGTCTTTATTTGGACGTTGTTGGTTAGAATCGAAAAAAACCCTCGTTTACATCAATCAAAAAATTAACTTGTTTATGTATATAGTTGCTATAAATTCGTCTACCATTAATCAAAAAAAAAAGTTACGAATAAAAAATTACGATTGAATCAATTATCATTTCGAACGAAACGGAATGATCAATTTTCAAATGTATCATATATTTACATGTATCCAGTATATAAAAAGAAAATTGATACGATCTACGCTTCGTACTATCAAATAAAAATTTTTGTTTAGAATTGTTTTTACAATGAACGAAATTTTTTTAAAAATATCTTTTTTGTTTTTGACTTATGATCAACCACAAAAAACAGCCGTTGATCTTTTTCAATAATTGAATATCAAAGATGAAAATATATATCAATATCTTATTGATTCGTCTTAATCATTATCATCAAATATTATTTCCGCGAACGGTTTTCATAATTACAGTATTATATTAAAACAAAAACAACCCTTTAGCATTTGAACAAGTAAAACTAGTAAATGCAGTGTATAAAGATGAAAAATCTTGTGTAAGATGGGTGTAATTTATCATCTTATCAATGTATGGAGTGCTGCTGAACTGAGAAATCATTATACATGTCAACGAAAAAAACTATCTATAATTTTTTATGGTTTTCATCATGATGTAATGCTATGTACTACAAACAAAGTATACCAAGTCTAAACTAGTAAAAATCACTTTTTAACGTATGAGAAACTTCAACGAATCATTTGAAAACTGCTTAGAGCCTTTAATTGCGATTAAAACGCTATTAGAATAACTAGAAGCATAAAGCATGTATAAAAATAAACAAAGTTTAGAAATTGCTTATTGGTCTATGAAAAACATAAAATGATAATCAATGATCAAAATGGTGTTTTAATCAATTTGATATAAATATCTTCATCACGATCTTGTTGTAAATCATTCGGTGTATAATTAACATAACCATTTTTACGTGCAACTGCTAAGACTTCTACTAACTTATTGACTTGAGCAGCTCCAAATATCTAAAAAGAAAAAATAAATATATCTATCAACATCGAGATATATGTAATATGTATTTTAAGATATTATTACATGGAAAAGAACTGTATCATGTGACGATCTAGAATGAATTTGTCATTCTTAACTAGGTGTGTGTGACAATTTTATTTTCAATTCCTAGTTACTTATAAGTTCTCAATAATGATCACTGAGTACAAAAAAAACCGGTCGACTGATTGACTCTAACTCACTTGAGCTAGGAGCTATCATATACTTACTTCTGACATTTCATAGATCGTTAATAGTTCTCCAATCGTTACATATATCAACAAATATTGTTCTGTTATCCGAACTATTATTTTCTTCACTTACCGGTATTAATTCACCAAATTTAATCTGTATTGCATAATCACCTTGTTGTCCATTATCTTTAATTAATTTATGAATATATTTAATTTCCTCCAGTGCACGACGATCAAGTTCCTGTTGACTAGAAGTAGAAAAAAAAAACAACTTGATTATTTTTCACAAAATCGAAAAAGGTCAACATATGACATTTACGTATGGATGGAATTTATCTGTAATGGTGGTGGTGCTTGTGTTTGATTTACTTTTTCTTGAAATTTATTAACACGTCCAGCTAAGTAATTTTTTGGTTTTTCAGGTTTTTTATATATGTTTTTATCGTATTCCATTGAATTGTCTTTGTTCGAAGAAGCCATATTATCGTAATGGATAATAAAATAAATTCTTGACTTGTATAATCTTCGTTATAGATGATATGAATATTATTAGAAGACGAAGAAAAAGAAAATATGTATGTACAGATGTACAGTTGTTGTTGTTGTTACTTCAAAGATATATTTATGACTTGTGTGATAGAAAGAAAAAAAGAAAAGAAGTTGACGATTAGTTCTTTCTTTCCTTTTCTAGAAGTACGCAATAATAATCAACTGTCATCTCTTTCTTTCCTCCTGTTCTATTTTTGGATAACTAATTAAATAGATATCACTCGTTTGGTATGTGGAAGCATCATAACAAAAACATTTGCTACCCATGTGAAATATTTTTGGACTAGAAACATGTTTGCATCATGTGTGATGTGCATTAGAAACGTGAAGAACGAACATGTCTGGACATGTTTCAAACGAAGTTTAAAGAAATCTAAGAGAGTTACCCCGCGATGGTATATATATATTTTTTTAAAATACTTTGTTGAGCATATAAAATTGTATATATCCTCATTTTTTTATTCGGTGATCTGTTTTTCTTTTGACACCGTTATGACCTTTACAAGGATTGTGTCTGTTTAGACGACCTTTTAATATGAAATACGGACAACATTGCGAAAGAAAAGTTTTAGTGTAATTCTCCGACAGTTCGGTAGAATATTAATAGTTGTATGTTTTCTGAATTTTTGTCAATGGTTAAAGGAATAATTTTCGAGAAACAGCTATCCTTCGATTAGGTACATTTTTCCTACTAAAAAAAAAAATATTTTTTAACAACATTTCTAACGAAACTAAAAAAAATTGATTTTTTTAACGTCTGGTGCAAAAATACTACAAATTCTGATTCCTATTTAGCAAGTTTTCTTATCAGAATTATATTTACGAGCAAAATACTTTTTCCCTAAACTGAAAACTCTAGGGTCTAGAAAGTTAAATAAAAACCAAAAGTTGTGGTGTCTGTATTGATGGCGTCGATATTTCGATCAACAAAGTAATAGAAGGTCATAAGCAAGCAAAATTAATGAAACTACAGTTTCGCCCTGAACAGAACGCATAAAAAAATTTCATTGCAAAAATAGATTGATAATTTAGAAGTCTACCTAAGATTCAGAAGTATCTTTCAAAAATATTGAAAAGTTCCAAGTTTAGTACCCTTGAATGTTTATGAAAAAAAAGGTTTTCAAATCACTATAATAACTTTTGAGTAAATAACTTCAACAATTCGATATTTCTTGAAGAGTAAGCTTGTTTAGATTCATGAATTATCTAATTGCTTGAGATGCGTGAGACTGTAATTCCATATGTCCTGTTCAAAAGCTACATTTTTGACAAAAAGAAGGAGTTTCTATCTTTGAGAGGAACAATGTAACGAATGGGAAAAGGTGATATATGCACTCAACTCTCAAGAAAATTTCTTATGATAATATTCTGCACACTTATACTCTAGAATCTAGTGAATCGGTGTCCGATGAATGTTAATTGTAATATTTGGAATCAGGATCAAAAACTGAGTCAAACAACATATGTTTTAGTGAAAAAGATTTTCCATCATAAAATTACTCGGGAAGTAATATGGATGAAATGCATTAAAAAAGAGCTGCTGAGGAGTACAAGTATTTGTTATGATGAAAAATATTTTTCACGAACGCATATGATATTCGACTCAGTTTTTGATATTTATACCGAATATCACAAGTCACATTCATCGAATGTTCATTCACTTGTTCTTCAAGTGAAAGCTAATGAATTTTCATATTGATGAATATGGCTGTGTTATAACCGGAAGTAGATTTGTGCTGCCTATTCATCTATTACAGATACAATGAAATCTTTGTCATGAGTTCATCAAGTTTAACTCTGTACGACACTAATTTTCATGAAATATTATCAACGGAAGTCTCAGCAATATGTCTATAACACTAAATTATTCAACATCATGGAACTATTCTGACCATAAACAGGATCTTTTGTGCTGTGTATTTCAGTTTACGTCACAATTGCAAGGACAATATCTTAAATACCTACAAGAAACATTTGTTGGATATCGATTTACTTGTTTCTAGACTGAAAAATGATTGAATTTAATGTTAGTAAATATGTTCGTAGCTAGATTCACCTATTAAAGACAAGGTTAAAAAGCAAAATAAACTCATACAGTAGCGCATATGTCAATCTGCGTTGTGGCCGCGAGAGTAATAAATCGAAATGTCTGACAGTCTACGAATAAGACCAAAAAAGTCATATAAAATAAGAAGAAAAGTGGATGTTTCTCATCTTATAGTTTTATGAGACGAAAACACAAAAATACTAGATGATAGCACCAGGTAGACACTGGTTTTAGAAACGTGTTAGAAATAGATAGACACACGCAAAGACAAACATTTTTTATTTGAATTTGACTTTTTAGAATCTAGACTATTGAGTCTAAGGAATAACTGAACCTTCTGGACTTTGAGATTTCAAATCAATTTAAATTCTAAAATCTCTTAGAACTCTTGAAAACTGAGGTGCAAAAATTTTAAACTTCAGGGTTCAAAAACACCTAAGTTTCAAGGTTTTAATAGGCCAGAATCTGAAAAAACCATAATAGCATGTCTGCCACGATCTGTTTGTAGTAGACTGCCACACGAATACCATACGAACATATATTCATGTGTAGATTTCTATAGTAAAATACCAGTATTTTGCGGTTTTTTAGAGAAATATTTTGTGTTATTGAAAATCTAATTACATCATTAGATAGAACTTATCATCTTGTACTAGGAACAGGCGATGTCAAAATGTTACTCTATACTATAATAAAGGAAGAGAAATCGATAGATTTTTCAATAACAAGAATACAAAGCATGTAGGATTTAAGTGAATACTGTAAAAATCAAAACGTCAAATAGCCTAGTGTAGACAGGCATAACGAGAAGAAAACTGATATAGTAGAATAGGAAAGTCATGACAGTCAATTCAAAGCTTGAAAAATTCTTACATAGAACGACTTATCTCATGGGATGATGCTTCCGTTCTATGTCATCCTATTCGGACCGCTGCGACATATAAACTTAATATATGTTATATTTCTTTTTATAGTTTGTAAAAATTATGATTCAACTATCATATTGATGAATGTTATTGCGATATAAAGAGTGAAGATGTTGTTTTCGCTCATAGTCACACCCTATTCTGAGATTGTCCAATCAGTTTTACAGAGTAAAATAGTCGATTATCAATTCAGATAACATTCCCATAAATCATTTTTTTGCAATTAATAATGATACCGAAAGAATAACTATTTTTATTGGACAGTGTAATATAAAGAAGACTATTCATAAAGGTTTTAGAATAAAAATTAACTTGATTATAGTAATTAAAAATAATGAATACGTCACTGCCATCAATCATCATAAATCAAGTATTTTTCCTGGTTATGATAAGATTCATCGAACTACATACATCGATGTATGCAAATTTATCTTTTTGGCGGGAATAATTTCCTTCGTAGAGAATAGAGAACGAGGCATTTGACTCGTGGTGTTGCCAACGTATAAACACATCATTATCGCAATAATATGCTTAAAGCACTGATGTATCTTGTCTGTCTGCAAGCAACTTCAAATTTATTAATTTTTAATAGAATTTTGATCATTACTGCAATTTAAAGCCACTCTTCATTTTACAATCAAATCTCAATCTAAAAAAAATTAAGCAGAGAAAAGAAAGTGTTAATATAGATCGAACCATTCTACTAATTAACGAATCGAGTAGAATCAGTCCAATGTTCTACGACGCGTCTAACGATAAGCAAGAGCTTTGTTATATGCCTAGATCAACCAACGAGAAAGCAGTGTTGTCTTTTCCCAACTATCATTCAACGATCTCCTATCTCCGTGACATGTACTATTGCTGAGAGAAATATAGACATATTGACACATGCCGTTACCTCTTTTCTTAGTCGAAGCAATGAATTCAGTGTTCCATAAATAAAATCAATCCATCTAATCGCATTGCCAAAGCTACGATATCAAAGAGCGAGATTAGAATCGTAACAATGCGAATCGATTTGTTCTATCCGCTTTCATTGGACAATAAATGTTTTTCGTAAATACTAATACAAAAGTCTCATGATTACTCTCTATTAATGCTAATAATGTTATACCCAATGCAGCACACCTATGATACGTTGTACATTGAGCTATTTTATTTCAAAAAACTCACTAATATTTCCTAGAACATGAAGGTACTATGAAAAGGATTTTCTTTACATAAATAGTAATACGAATAGTGTTGCTTAGAATACATACAGAAATGAGGGAGTTTTACTCAAACTTGGATAATAATACTCTAGTATTAAAAAACCTCACAAAGATCCACTATGTGTCTCTGTTGAAGTTATCGCTGGATTGACTATTACGCTCTCGAAATCCAGAGTATAGTGCCATGCAACAGACATTGACTTACTATTTGTAAATTAAATCAAAGTGCAAAAAAAAAATAGTAATTGAGAGCAATATAGTGTAAACTTTTTGGTTATTGACGTGTGAAACAGGTAATAAACGAGGATGAATCATTTCTTCTAAAGTAGATGTTATTGATTGTAATAAAGTTCGTAAAACTTATAAAAATCACATACATAAATAAAGCTGTAAAAATGATCTAATCAAATATTCACAAAAAGAATAACCATATCGTTCGTAAAATGATCAAGATCTATTTCACTGTTATTGTCAAAATATTTATATGTATATATATATAGTATTCTTCGTTTGTTTTTTTTAAGTTTTCTATAAAAATCAAAAGTGAATTAGCTATTTTCTTTTATGCATGATTTGTTTACTTTGTTTTCTTAAGCAAGAAAATAAATAATTAGTAATTCATTATCTTCTGTCAAGAGAAATACAGCAAAAAAAAAAGTCGATTAGTTCGTGTATTTTTCTGTCAACTCCTATCAATAGACACTTATATTTTCTTCTAAGTTCTTATCGCTTTAGATGCATACACTTCGAATAGTAATTTTCTTTTATATATGATATCGATGTCTCAATCTTGTTAAACTTTCTGTTTGGCATTACTTTATCGATAGATTACACTTACTTGACTAAGATCGCTGTGGTCTGATAGTTGATGTGTCAACTACAGGATCATGTTGAGGTATTTATACAAGAAATTGTGACTTTTCATGGTTGTTTTTCTGAATGTAAAAATTTATTCAATTGATTATACGTGTGTTTTTTGTTTTCTATTAAAATGTAGTCGATAATGGGCCTTTTTCCAATTATAATGTTGTCTTATCTATATTAGTGAGATCCAACTTGGTGTTATCGACAGTCATCTGTTCCATATCGTATTTCGTTGAGAAAATTATTTCAATTATCAATTTGTAGAAAATAATTTCTTCGTGAAATACATATTCAGAAGATGTTGCTGTTATTTTATTACTACTGCCCTTCTTCACACATTAAAAGACCAGGGTCTTCTAAAAGAAAAACGTTCGTTTGAATCTTTTTAACCTTTTTTTTTTTGTGGAAGTATTGCTGGATGGTGTTTATTGTAGAATAAAAATTGCGAAAGAATGTAAAAGAAAGTAATAACTTATCTACGAATTAAACGAATAAATTTTCTTTGAAGAAAGAAAAACAATATTTTCAACTCCAATTAATACAAAAGAAACAGAAAGAACCATTAGCAGATCCAGCAGTTCAGCAATCATCTCACCTCTCGCAAATAGAAGTAATAATAACGATTTTTATAAAATGTACTAATACATCTATTCAAAGAACAATTAAAATCTTAAAATCGTAAGAGTCGCCAAACAAAACTTGTTTCTGTTGTTTACAAACGGTTCTAATAATTAATAAAATTTTCTGACACGTAACAACGATAAATGCAAAAATAACATTGATTATCTCTGTCTTTAATTGATAATTAGTTCAAAAACAGTTGAAAAGTAAATAAGATTAAATAAAATTTAGATATTCAAAATAAAACAGCACCAAAATTTAGATTCATAAAAAAAATAAGCTATGTGTGTCTGAAACTTCATTTGAATTTGTTTTCGACAAAAGCTCTATTTTTCCTATTGAATGATGTAACAGAAATTCTGAAACATTCTGATGGAATATGAATTATTCTATTGTTAAATTTGGTTTCTTTAACGATTTACTTAGATCTTTCCTAGGTTAAAACTTATTCTTTCGTTGATGAAATTTCTAAATCTAATCGCCGTTAAGTTTTTCAGATCTTGCTCATCATTGTTTTTTTCAATAGAATCCACAAGAGAAAGACCTGAAATCATATTTTTTGATTTAAAATTGATGAAAAATGAAAATAAAAATAATTCTTTTTCCCTTGATAAAAATCTACTTACTCACGGACCTCAACATTTATTGTTTAAAAACGATACGGTGAAACGTGAGTGTACGATCATATTATCTGATTTGTTTCGAAACAAAAACTCACACTACCTCGGAAGATATCATTTAGAAATCATCACGTTCTCGCCAAAAAACCTTCACCTGCTACTGGAAAGAGCTATAAATTCTTGGAAGAGAGAAAGATTAGTGTTAAACCTCATTTACATCAATAGCATTATACATGTATTGAATATATAAACCTATATAAAAAAAAACTGGAAAAATAATTCTGATTATAAAGGATTTTTTTGTGATTAAAAATCTAGCATAATGGCACTATTATATAATCCAAATTTAATCATTATTTTAGATTAAAAATTAAAAAAATCAGATTTAATTCATTTTTCTAAATAATAGATTATGGATTAAAATGAAACTTTTTGCTCAGTTTTTGTATACAAGTTTTTTAGAACGCAAAACTTTCTACAAGACTCAATATACTAGATTTTCCTGTGCGTTCTCTAGTCCCTCAAAAAAAAAAAAATGGTTTGTAGTCAAAAATTTAGTCTGAAAAAAATCCGAGATTTATGCTTTCTCAGTGAAGATCTCACTTTTTTAATATCTCAAAAGAGATATTTTTGTCTAACTTGATGACTTATTTCGAACAAGATGTTGCTCGAAAAAATAAAAACGAAATCTATAATTCTCTCAGATAAAGTTTAGACAGTCTAAAAACTTATTCATTTAGTGCAAGAAATTAGATGAGATAAAAACAAAGATATGCATATTAGTTTCGACTATATTATGACCTTATGATGCATTACTCATTCTTTTCATGAAACTTCTATGAAAAAATTTTTGTACAAAAAACGAAATATTGAATAAAACATCAGACCACTATCATTTAACTTAATTTCCATTTGACTGACAAAATTTGTCTTTTACATTTCACATTTATCTATTTCTACTTGTTTATTTCAAAATGTACAAGAACTATTCTTACGAAACAACATAATACAAGAAACAAAATTATTCTGTTAGTTCAATTGTCTTTTTAGTTTGTTCAATAACTGATTTAACCATTTCTTTACAATGTTTCATTTGAAATGCTTCAACAACAACATCATGTAAAGAAAAAATAGATCTAATAAAACTCGAAAAAAATACAACAGCTTGTTTATCATCATATTTGTAGATTAAATATCGCCATGCTAATTCAGCATACATATTTTGAATAGATAAGACTTTTTTAATATCCATTAAATTAATCGGAGCAACATTTAAATAATATGTATAATTAAATGTAGAAAAAACAATTAGTGCAAGTAATAATTTAAAAAATGTACTATCAAAATTGAGTTGATTAATTACACGACTAGTGTTAGCTAATATACCTGAACTATAAATAATTTCAGCAGATTTAAATATTGTTAAATCATTTAATAATCCAGTTTGACGTATTATAAAACATGCACCAAGACCTCCAACATATTTCATTGTATTATTAAGTAAAAGAGAACGATCATGTGAACATAGAGAATTAAAATGAGAATTATTTTGAAAAAATAATTGTGCTCGACCAATGAATGATAAAAAAAGTTCATTGAGTCGTCCTAATTTATAACGCATTTTAGGATGTAAATTATGATGTTCTTGTAGAAAACATTTAGCTAATGAAAATCCACTATTTTCATCATAACAATAAGTTATTTTCGATAAAAGATTCCAATCATGTATACTTAATCGTAATAGATTTGATTGTAATTGATTTTGAATTAATGACTAAAATCAAGAGAATATTTCAATTGTCGAATAGAATTTCTATAGCAGATTATCGTTTTAAAAATACAGCTCTTGAAATATAATGTTCTAATATTTTATATGCTATATGTATAAGTTAAGTATTTCATTTAATGCGAATTCGCAATATAAACTAACGTTATGAAGCATGAAACAACGATATGATACGTTCTCAATTCGAAAAAAAAACAGATATTGATCAATATATATCATTGTAATAATAGAAATAATACTTAAGAGCTCTTCATCATCAATCACCCAATTAGAGTATGGTTCGTTTGGACGAAAATTTTCAAGAGTGAATAGTTCTAGTGAAAGCTGCTCTATACATACTTGGAACTTTAAAAAATCAAAAAAAAACAAATAGATTATTAAAACGATAAATAGAGTTCGTAATAGACGAAGTAACCAAACATTATCTGTATTACTTCAATAGTTTGGTTCTCCATTTTTTTCATACAATGAATGTATTTTTTTAATAGTTCTTTGCTTTTCATTGTTCAATTTTTATGATTTTTCTTCTCAAAAACATTCAATTCATATAAATAAACTTCATATCAGGTGTATTTGCCTTCAATTAATGAAATATCTTGAAAAAAAAACCTAATGAATTCTCTCAAAAATCTTTAAACTTCTACGCAACTTACGTGAATTATCTGTTTCGTCTAGAAGGTGCAATATATAAAAATATATGATTCTAATTTTAACTTTTAATAGACACTTAATGCTTTATATAAAAATGTTTTTTATTCAATGTTATTACCAATGAAAACATTGTCTTACATTTAACTACGAACATTTTTTGAAAATTATGTTAATCGACTCCAAGTTTCAAATGTCTGTAAGTATTGCGAACACCGCCAAAGTTGCGAAATTAGAATAGAATTCAAAACACATATAATACGAATATTAGAGAATAATTTGATTTTTATTTATACAGTTGTTTTATATTTCGCAGTGTCTGCAGTTTTTTTGAAGAATTTCTCCCAATAGTGGGTACAATGTCGATCGTTTTGCAAAAAGCTATATATATATATATTTTGAAAGACAAAACTTAAGTGTATCTTTCTTTGATTAAAAACTCAACTTCAATATTTTTTCCGACAACTTAAGGTTTCTAAGAAGGAAATCTTAAAGAAATGTAAAATTCTTTAATTATCTATTCCTTTTCTTTTTAATGAAATTCTTCCATAACTAGCGTTCATAACAAGATAATAATCTCACATATACTAGTAAGATCACTATTTTTCTGTTATATCTTTCAAAAACAAATCAATAAAATTTTTTAAAACTAATATACATTTCAAAATAAAAGGCGGATGTGTATTATTGAAATAATTTTTGATAAGAACAAAATAGAAATCTGTGATTTTCACTATTGAAAAGAGAAAATGAAACTACATTGAAACTTGAAGATTAAATTTTTCTAAAAACTTTTCTTAGGACTACCCGTTAATTCTTTTCAAAAAAATCAAAGAAAAACATCAATTTTTTGTGAATAAAATTTCAAAACTTTTGCATTTCACAATATTTTTCTGTATCAAAAATGTGGCAGATGGCTCTGAGAGAACGTGTCAGAAAAAAACTGGTGTTCAAGGTTACATGCAGTTTCATCTCTTTTTTTCAATGGTGAAAACCGTAGATCAACTATCTTATTCATAATCAAAAATGATTCCAAAATTACTCAATTGTCTTTTAATTTGAAATGGATATTAGTATCATTTACTATTCATTGTTATCTATCATTTAAAGAATCGAATACTTCAAATAAACGTATATACAAATCGAGATATGTAAATCTGTTGTTTTTTGTTTTTGTTGCAAATAGCTGTAAATAATTCACAACAAACGTAGAAATGAAATAGATAAAAACGAAAACCTTACTTGTTGTGTTTGATCAATATTTTTGAATTTTACTAAAGCAGTTGATATTTCAGTGGCTGTTTTTTTTCGTTTCGTGTAACTTTTTACCGTTCTCGAAGATCGAAACATTTCAACTTGCATTCCACTTGCAAAACATTTAGCAAGTCGACATGATGAACAAATATGACGATTAAAAGTATTAATTTCACAATTACCATTAAAAATACATTTAGGAGGTGCCTTAAATAAATCTTTGTAATGAACAAAAAAAGTCTACAATCTTTTTTTACGTGATCTAACCTGTTTTTCTTCAGCATGACGTTTGAAGAATACTTTACAAGGAAAACATACGACAACACCAACATAAGAATAATAAGCAGGAGCTCCACATATTTTACATTCAACTGGAATTTTATTTGGCTTTTTAGTAACTGTTATAGATGAAGTTTTATCATTGGAATTTTCAATAGATTTATTGTCCATTATGAAATTTTTTTATTATCATTAAAAAAAGCACAACCGTATTAAGTGAAAGAAAAAAAAACTTACTCTATCTTGTTTATCTCTAAGTCATCTAGATAATAAATGATAATTAAAGTTATGACGAAGAACAAAAATTCTTCTTTTTTTTTTTCTTTTGTTTTTTTTCTATAGAAACAAATAATTAGAATGATTATATATGCAGCGAGTCGGCGCATGTTATTCTGAAGTCAAAAGAATACGCAAATATTTTGCGCAGAGAAAAATAAGTGCAATGTGAATAGAACGCCATTCCGTTGTCTCTATTAATAGAGAGTCCTTGATAAGATCATCCTAGATCGTTAGAGAAGATTTTCTATTCTATGTAATTATTTCATATAAAAGGCCTCGTCAAGTTAAAAAAACTACGTAATTCGATTTTACCCGTAAAAAAACACCAGCAAAAGCAAGTTCAAAAAGTCTAAGTTGATCCTAAAAACACTGAGAGCAAAATAGTTGAAATTAGAGTTTATTTTTATTAAGAAATCGATGGTAAACACTTGACTTTTGTGATTTTCTGTCATGTTTAAATAAAATTCAATTAATCTAGTCAAAAGAATCATTTTTTTTTGTAATTAATATAGTAGATATAATTCTCTAAATGTACAAATTGTCTTCTTTAAACAACTCAGTTCTATCTTCAGATTAAAATTATGACTAAATACTTAAAATCAAGGCACAACATGTTCGAAACAAGACCTTTTTGAATAGATGACTTCTATTATTTGTTTGATTAAATTGACTCTTTTTTTATTTAGAATTAATAGAAAAATAAAATAAAAAATATCAGCCATTTTTCTCTTGTACAAAACTGTAAATTTTTCAAGCTCAGATTTGGAAAAATATATCCAAACTCTCTCTCAAGAATTGGTGGAAACATCATCATAGACATTATGTTTCAAACTACAGCCGGGAAGGAGTAGGAATGAATATTCGAAACAAAAATAAAACTCTGAAAAATATTTGGAAGATATATCAATCGACTTAGTTTTTGATGCAGATTTCGAATATGACAAACATGTTGGCTCAACCAAAATTTTTCACCAATAAAACCAAATGATCTAACGTTTAGGATTTGACTAAACCTTTCATTTGCAATAACTAAATCAAAAACAAAATTTTTTTTTCTGGTGACCTCTGATAATTCTTAGTTCAGATATAATATTAATTGTTGAAAATTTAGGTGATGTTACACCAGAAGTATTTCTATTAGATGCTTACTTTCAAGTTTTTGACGTGAGAATTTTACAAATGGATTTTTATGATAATATAGATAATATGTAGTGTCCAGATCATTGTATTTTACTTTCAGTTGTTCCTTCGACTGTAGGGAGGGTCATATAAAAAAAAATAGTTTGTGTGTGTCTGCATCGAGGTCAAAAAAACATCGGGATCAAAAAAAACTTCCACTTTAGAAAATTTTCCATATAGGTTGACGAAAGTAAATCGGGGTCGGGGAATCCGAATCTGACATCAGTTTCTCAAAATTTTGAATTGGGTTTTTAGGGTCAAAAAAAGGGTTTTTTTGAGAAAATAATGATATTTTATAAAGGTTGACGAAAACAAATCAAGGTCGGAGAATCCGAATCTGAGGTCAGTTTCTCGAAATTTTGAATTGAATTCTTTTGGGTTCAGGAGAAAAGGTTTTTTTGAGAAAATAAATTTTTTCTCGAGTGTAGGAACGGTTATATGAAATAAAATAAGTGTTTGTCATAGTGGAAGGTGAAACATCATAAAAAACGTTGGCTAAGTATTCGATTCTCGTGCTTTTAATATTGAATTTTCACCCAATTCAATTTTTCAGAATGAAAATTCAGTCAATCCGACATATGTGATAAGTTCTCCCTTAATCAGCTATTTCATGACTGGGTGGCCATGGATGAGACTTGTATATTTCTGTCTGATACAGTCGAGGGTCAAGTGAGTCGAACCGACGAACGTTACTTGTGCATATACAGGCATTTATCATATTTATTTTATTATAAGTAAGATAAATACTTTTATAAATTTATAAATTTTCGCATTGAAATTTTTTTCGTATTTTTCATTATATGTCTGTTGTGTTCCTTGTTCGTGTTTCTCATTGTATTTCTTTCTTTCATGTACCATCTTTTCATTCCATTATCGAATGCTTTTAATATATCTGCTTGTTTCTACTTGTGGTAATCATGCATGATATTGGAACAGCAACTCGATGAATGTTACTATTTTTCTATTATAAGCACTTTTGAGTGTAACAATCAATCAAGTCACTCAAAAAATATGACTCAACAAGAAAATTTGCTTTTAGATTTATTTGATTATTTGTATTTTTGACTTATGGATTATCGATTACGTTTTCAGTGGATATTTTGCCACGTATATCTGAGAATTCAAAATTATCTAGTTTCTACTCTTTTATACAATAAAATCATACACTTTACACTGTTGATGTTGACAATCATATCATTTATTCAGGCACTACACGTGCAATAGCAACAATAAAAACGATAATAAAAATTATAAAATGAAGAAGAGTTTCTTTAGGAACTGCTATCTTACTGAAATAGTTATCTGTATAAGACATAATTTCAATTGAAGTTTGTCATTAACTTTGACGGATAAGTTGAATGATAATTGTGTTGACATTATTCGAAATACTTACTAGTTGATGATCAGTGTTTTGAACGTGAATAGGGATAGGAAAAAACTTGTTTGACCATCCCAAAATCATGCTTGCAGGAACATGAATCATGTGTGAGTGTAGAAAATTTCCGTTTGTTCGAAATACATGCCAATTCCAGATGGTCAAATCAATATAGATCACGGTAGAAATTATCGGAAATGTAACATAAGCTTTAACTTCATTACTCAAACCGCCCAACACAAAGGAAACAATGACAACAGCTAATATTAACCATCGATAGAGTAATAGATGACCACCAAACAATTGTCTCTTTTTACTGACATCACCGAATGATTACCAACACCGAACAGCATGATTGTATTGGGATGCATATGTATTTTGAATACAAGCTCGAGTGCCTGTATCAACAGGACTAACTAAAGTAATATTAGAAGTAACGAAACAACCACTAGCGATATCCACGGACCCATCGCTCACAGTGTATATATGATTATTTGATATGAGAATTTGTTTAATGACGATACAGCAGAGTATAATAAAAGACAAGAGTTAGTTTTTTCTTCCAGAGTTTGCTGATAAGATGGTGTATACAGTTATGCTGATAATACACTGAAGATATACTATTTACCAAAGGAAGTAATTTTAAGCGTCTATCATAAATATGAAATAAGAAAAGAACTCAAATTTATTTTCAACTTAACGTAAACGATAGTACGGTACAGAAGTTTCATTGAGATGCAACTATACATGGCCATGTGATAAAGTGTGTGGCAGACAACTTATTAAGATTAGATTTCTGAGATGGTCAAGTGCCAGTGTTGGAATGGGATCACAGAATTGACTGAAGTTTAGATATACGATAAAGTTCTGCGAACTCGATACTTTCTGACAGTCATAACATAGTCTGGAAGTACAGGGAGTACGCTGAAGTACGGCATTTTCGCTTTTTTCTCCTTGATGAACCCTCAAAATATAGCACTTCGTTTTCTCTTGTGCGATTTCAAGAATTTGATACACGAAAATTGACTTGTATGCTTCAAGTTTAACAGTTGCAAAGCTTTGATTTTTCTAGAAATGGAGATACTATTTTTGTCAACAGGGGAAAAGCATACGTTCGTACTTCAGATGTACCAAGAAGTATGTTGAACTACAAGGAAATAGATGTCACAGCTTTTATTAGAATTAAATTGAGTTTGGAATACGTACACAAATTAAATAAAATTTCTTTAAGAAAAATATTTTTATTTTACAAAGAAAACTTTATGAAAAAAAAAATAATATAATTCACTCGTATAAGAGTTCACAAAAAAAATGCCGTTGATATAGCTTGACTAGTTGATTGGAAATACATGGCTTTTATTTTGATTCAACCACCGTTTAGCTGAAGAAAAAAGATACAACAATGTCGAATGATTGAAAATGTAGCATTGGAAATGATGATTTCGTCTTTTTTTTTCTTTACAGAATTCGTCAAACTATAAATACCTGATCCTTTCAAACTTTATAAAAACATTTTATTTTTGTTCAGCATGAAAACTGAATATAAAAGTGTTATGTGATTAGATTTTTAAGGTTATAAGCTTCAACAAATTCTGAATAGGCTATCTATTTTGCTTTTCGACTGGATGATGATAATAAAAGTCATTAAATACGAGTCCATTTTTCATCCTTTCGTCTATTGGGACTATCAAATAAGAAAACTATTTCATTTTTGCAACGATACAACAGAATCCTAAGAAAGTAAAATAGATATTTTTGGTAGTTCATGGTCTAGTGATTCTAATAAGATAAGATATATACTTTTATCTCTTGTAATCAACAACTAGATATGTTTACAAGATTATTCATGAATATATGCTTTCAGTCTGATGATCCTATCTATATCCGAGTGGATTTGTTTAAACCTTATTAGCTCTGCATCTAATTAAACAACATTTTTATAGGCAAACCCAATTCATCTTTACAAATGTGCTATATATATATACTATTGAATTGATGCATATAAGATTGTTTCAGCTAAGTAGTGACCGCATCGAAATTTTAAAAACAAAGTAGTCTATATTCGTGACCAGCCTTTCAAGCGCCATCAAATCATTTATTTTAGAGCAATAAAAAATTCACTCAATTTGTGCGTTATCTGCACCTAATAAAAATAATACAATAAATAATTGCTGAAATAAAATGAAAAAAAGAGTTCATCCGACTGTGTACGTTTGTCGATGATGTTTACTGGCGTTGATTGCTACTGTCATAACCACTTGACTTACCACTTTGACCAGACAGTCCTCCGATGTCAGAACCTTGAATAAACAAAACAAAATAGATTATATAATATTCTGCTCTATGAACAAAATTGTTTTTGATCTGAAATTCTTCGAAGAAAAAAAAAAGCATTTTACACCAAACACAATTCACTTCTAATGAATAACAATGATGGAATAATCAATCGAATTCTATTGAATAAGTAAGAATCTTATCGAAAAAATGTTGAACTCATTTTCAACAACAGTAATATATAAAATCTAATAATACTACTTGAATTATGTTGAAGAAGCTTTTGTTAATATCTTTGATAGTTTTCCAAGATAAAAATTCAACTTTCAGATTGTTTCTTTTAAGCGATTTGTTTTTAAATTATAGTCATATATTCTCTCTTGATTTAAGTAACGCTTTAAAATAAATTTTTGAAGTAAAACTAAAATCATAAATTTACCTATATCACGATTAGAATTTATTTCATCTTGACTAGCTTTGTTTGAAATGCCAGCATCAATTGATCCTCCATATCCTTGACTATCGAGTCCACCAAAACTACTTGACTGACCATTAATACCAGCGCCTCCTGAACCTCCCAATGATGAGGAATCTAAGTTTTGTGCTTCACCACGGTTTGAACTTGATTGTTGACCAGATGATGACATTTTAGAATGTTTTATCCACAGTATACAATAAATGTTTTTTACTTGTTTGTAAATTTTATCTGTCAAATATAGTCGAAGCTGTGTCTTATATAGAAACGATAGGATGCAATAGTTAAAGTGATAATCAGAAGTAAACATTCTTTTCGACCATAGTAGAAAGAACGAAAGAAAAGAATCATCAAAAATAGAAGAGAAAAAGAAAAAGTTTTTCATTGACGAAATTTCTTTCATATTGGATTGGTTTTCTTGTGAAAAAGAAGTTATCCAGTTCGATTTATTCGCGTTATAATATTACAAAAGGTAAATGAGAACAGTTATTTCATGCGTTTTGCTATTTTGACTATTTATTTCTAGAAAAATGATCTACGCACATATAAAAATTCGTAATTTCGAATTATAACAGTCGTTTCAAACTTACAAAAGTATAGATTATTAAAAATGAATTATTTATAGGACATAGAATGAGAATATAGCTTGCCTCTGAAAATTTATGAAAAAAACATTGAACAGATTTTCGACTAACCATTGAAAACAAATTTTTCTTTCATTCATCTCAGCATTCAATTATCTCCTTCATAATATCCCATTTAATACAGCTTATGTAACTCTAAAAAAATTTATATATGTATCCTTGTTCAACCTTCATATTATAGGAACAGCAAATATAAAACTAAGTCACACATATATCTTTTTCTTAGTACACGCTTGATTTCTCTACGAATTTGCAGTGTCCAAAAATATTATATATGCGTTTTGGCAGAACTAAACCAAAGGGGATATCTAAGTAATAGCTAATCCTTTTCTGATGCAATTCAATTTCGATTCATTTTTAGAATGAAGATGCCTTTATTCGATTTGTTTATTGAATCACAAATCAATCGAGAAAAAAATGAAAAGAAACAATCAAAATACAGGTTATTTATTATCTTTTAAAAATAAACAAGGTACGATATTAACTATTATCATTCAATTTTTCGATGAACAACAATTTTTGTTTCATAGAAACAAGCTGTAATGATTTTATTATAAAAAAAAATATAACTTTCTGAGAAAAGAACATTAGATAATAGGTTATATGTGCGACAGAAAAGAAAATATCCTTTTTTTATGTAACAATGTAAGTCGAATCAAAGCCGAACGAAGATTTTTCTCATAGGTCTCGATTTCTATCAGCCATTACATTTAAATAATACACTTAATCTTTCATTAGTGTTGATTTCAAGTAGAATGAATATGCAGCAATTGATAAATTTCATGTAGTATTTTCTTAATGATTTGTATAATTTCCGACAAGACTTTATAAATTGAACTGATGATCTCTATAAATCGTAACAACTTAATCTTGCGTTTTTTTTGAAAAATATTGATTAATAATTATATCTTCAGAGCGATGTTTTCTGTTAAAAATAAATAAATAAAATTTACTACAGTAATTTCAAAAATATTGCTATAACAGTATGAAAAAATTATAGTTTCCCTACGAAATTTAAGTAATCAATTATTTAAAAACTAAACTCATAAAAACTTAATTCATTATATATATTTGATTTTTGTTACCAAAAGAAAGTAGTTTTTAGATATATAAATATATTTTAACAACTTCGAAAATAATCGATTTATACTTTTTGTGTTCATGAATTTAGTAATATTATTTTTAACGTTGAAACTTTTATATAATTAATTAATAATATTTTTTTTATTAAACTTTTTTCTTTCGAATAATTATTTTTCGTTTGAGAAAAATAATCAAAACTTCATAAATTTATAGATATTGTTGGATACTAGGCCGATGAGTACAGTTTATTTTTTTCTGCTAAGAAAGAAACAGAATATATTTATATTTCTGATTTTTCTTCGTTCTTTCTACGAAAAAAAGAATCCTATAGTAATGGTTTAAGATACATTAATTATCATATGAAAGAAAAAAGAACAAACAGAAAGATTTATGTTGACATACATTCAAATGGTACACTTCTCGTGTCACTTGTATAGAGAAAATAAGAAAAACTGTATAACCCAAAAAGGTCAGTCGCATGTTATAGAATAATGTTTTTGGCTAATTTTATTCGTTGAATATAAACTTGTTGATAATAAAAAGATTCTATCAAAATTAATCAAACAAAGTTTATATTTTTTTTTCTTACAAAAGAAAAATAATTTATCATAGATTATTTAGAGAAACTCCATATAAAAATATTGAGAATCATTCCAATGTGGGAAATACTAGTCAAAATTTCAATTTTTTTTTGATTTTTTTATGCGCATTAGAATATCTATCAATGGAAAGCATCAAACCTAAACATTTAACTTATTTGGATGTTCTATAGGAAAGTTAGCCACTTATTGAGAAAATTTTCTTATAGGTGTTTACTACGATTATATTTTCAAAAGTTAAAGAATTTTTCATGCAACATATCAAAAGATAGAACATAGAAAACCAAGTTAAGTGAACTATTTAAGATATGGAATCTCATCGCTTTATCGGGTTAACATGAATGGAAGAGGTTTCAATGTTGTAGTCTATAGTGTTTGATTTCTAATAGTATACCTTCTGATATTTTTTCAACTCAAAAGATCCTGTGCTGAATTTTTCATATGTTATATGACTTTTGATTCTCTACAAAATAATAGAGAATATTGACAAGAAAAAAGTTTACGTTCGATGTAAAAAGCAGCTTATATTGTCAGTAACTAAAGAAATGGTCTGAAGGGTACTATGTAGATGCTGTGGGTAGAGATGTGTATAAAAAATTTCTCGATAAAAGATAACGTTATATGTATAGATAAATACTTATCGAAAAGACTATGGCCTGCGAAACATTGAACGACAAGACACAAGTGATTGCTGCTGGCGTTACTGACCATCCAGTCAAGCCTTCCTCGTTTAATCAACAACCTACTACGATATTGATTCGCAAGTGTTTATTCATTCTAATTTTTATTCAACTGGTAGGTTTCCCTCGATCTTATCACGCGAGATGTATTTAAGAAACTTTATGAGCAAAGTTAATTGAATAAACTATCTATCTTCTTAAATAGCTTTTTTCAACGGAAGATCTAGGATAAACTTTAAATAGATGTTGATCCCAAGCCAATAAAATGTAATCGGAGTATAGGAGAAAAGTGATATGATTGTATATGAACACAATATCATGTGTATGATCTTCGTAGCTTCTCAAAAGAGATATGTTTAAAACTAGTATACAACTATTGAATTATTTAAATAGCTGATTTGCTTTTGCGATGATTTCTATTTATTTTTCTCCTTTTTTCTCATGAGGATATTTCCAAAATTTTTTTTTGTAAAAGCTGATAGTTATTTTTTGTTTTATACAAGAAGTTAGTGAAGAATAAAATAAAAGCAAATATGCTATGTGTGACATTATTTCTAAACTTCTCTTCTTTTGACTCACTCTAAATACTCAATAATAATGAATAAATAGCTGAATATTTATTAAATAGCTTTCCATCGGAAGATATGAACAATACATCAGTAACTAACTGTTCATTAAAAGTTATTTACTATGAAATTTTCTTACGTATCTTTGTAAGCTATCTTTACCAACTTTATATAATATAAATGACGTTGCCATGAAGTGAAGTGAACTGACAGCAATATGTTGACACTAGACACGCACATTTTTATTTCAGTTAAAGCTTGTATTGGTTTTAACTAAGAACGTCATGCTGCCATACTTATCTCGAGACGAATTTTGTTCTTATTGTACGATGAAGATGGAAAAAAGAGCACGACACATATAGCTTTCTTTTAAACGATTGGAAAAACTTAGTGCAAGAGTAGAATTGCAATTCAATCAATCCTCATGATTCAAACTTGTAGCTTGGATCCAACTTTCAGATCTAACACTAGTGTGACAGGCGATCTAATTGATTTAACATCGACTATAAACCGTTCATTAAATATTACTATTTTTCTATTTTTGTAGTTTCTGGTTTGCACTAATCTCATCCTTACTATTCGTTCATTGGTCATTGAGGATATATTTCTTATCGGTAATGTTCAAGATGTGATGCATAAAACAATCGTAATTGTCTTTCAATTGATCAATCTGGTCTACCATGGATATGGCCTCATTGTCACTTGTCAACATAACAAAAATGGACTACGTATGGTACGCAATTTTTAATTCATAAGAAAATGCATACAAACTACAATTGCATGATAATATCTATGTAAGAGAGAGATGCAAATTATCAGGTTTTTATTTATTTTCTGCTATTTTTTGAACAATATCATTAGTAACAAATGTTATGAACTTTTAGGAAGTAATTAGCAAGGTGAAATGATAGAAGAAATAAAGAAAAAGATGATCCTTTCGTAGAATTTGAACCATGCATACTCTCCTATTCTTCGACAGACACCCTCAACTACTAACAATAGAAAAAGCTATTGATTTTACATTTAGAGGTACTGTTCTCTCGATCTTGTTAATGCTAATAGTCCTCGGATTTATATAGACATTTATAATATTCAATCGACAAATAGTTGCTTTTGTTATTTTCTGTGAATTTATTCAACTTTTTTTTTCTCTATTTGATTTCCATCATGTTGTTGGCATAAAACGTGTTATGAATACTTTTAGTCGTCAGCATTTAAACACATTCAACTATAGTTAGAGCAATCAACTTTGATCTAAACATCTTCTCTTCTTTTTTAAGTAAAAATTTAAACAGACATTTTATCTCCGTAGTATGCGAGATTGGGCATGTTCTTCATTGCATTTTTATGTATCACGATGATCATATCGGTGGCGATCCATTTCTATCAATCAACAGAAGAGGAAAACGTAACACAAGTGAAACCAACCAACAGTGAACATATTCAAGAACTCATATCATATGGCGAGACAATCTTGGCAATTATTTTGCTAGTGAGTAATCTTTCTTTACTTATGATGATTAGAAACCCACGTCCAATTTAGATAATCACAGTTAAACTGGCTCTGAAATTGTCGAAACAAAGTCCTAGCATTTGATCATCGAACACAATAAATTTGTACTGCTTCATGCTATTCGGCATAAGAATTATTTAATTCATTCAAAATGACTCATTAAGATTCCTCATGTATGTCGCCGAACACCTAGTTGAGCCATTGAAATAAATTTAAAACCTGCTTTTAAAGACCTGGTATTTGTTCGAAGCACGGGAACTTTAAGTCTTTACGACAATTTGATTAAAACTTAGATGATAAAAATTTGAGTTAGAATAATCGAATGTACTTGTACTTTCTTGCAGTACGGTTAGATATTTTATTATTCTTAGCTCAGAATCTCAAACTGGAAGCGATAAGAAACAGCCTTGCATGCGTCTAGTTGTGCATTTCTAAAGATTTTTTATAACATAGAAAAAAAAGGTACTGTGTCGATTCAGTTTTCAGTATGATGTGAAGCAATTTTTTTTTTCAATAGAGTAAGTGATTGTTCAACAGATGTGACAGTGCAACGATTTCAATAATTTATTCAAATAAAAATAACGAGTTCTCAAAATCATCGGATATATCTGTCAAATGGTTTTTAGGGAAATTTTTAAAACTTGAACGAAGAGTGTGCCTCTTTTCAATTTAGTTTAATTCATAGATTCGTGAGCCTCATCCATCGTAATAGCTGTGCCATAACTACTTTCGAAGTACTCTAACTAATAGTCGATCTATACAGAAGGTATGTTTTATCAAGCAAAATCATGAGAAATGAACAACGATATTTATTGGCTATAAATCTAAATTATTGGACAAATAGAAAGAATAATTATGGCCATGCGAGTTTTGTTTTTGATCGCCAGAATAAAGACTCATTGTCCGGTATGTTTGTTCTGATGATGATGGATAATATTCACCGGTGACTGATTTCTTAGGTTTTCAGAATTAAAATGAAATATGAAAAATTTCGTTCGATCCGTCACATTTATTCTTGACTTTTGCTTCAATCGATAGTTCGATGAAATAGTGATATAACGACCAGCGCATTCTAAAATTCCAAAAATTTTTAGTACAAGGGACGAAAAAATAAAATATATCTGATCATGGCTGCTAAAGGTTAACTGTATCGTATAAGCTGCATCAGTTTCATAGGCTTTCCTGATGTTGCACATTTTTTCATTCTTATTGGAAATCGCAGAAATCAACCATATCTCATAGGATCTTTCCATATATTCAGTTAAATTCTCTAGAATTGCTCCGGAATCGAATTTTGACCTTTATTACAAGATTCTCTTGTACCTTAGAACTTGTTCATTTTATTGATTATAAGATATACCATACAATTATATATTTTCTTTCAAGACATTAGACAACGTTGTTTATTTTTAAAGGTATATGTGTTATTTCTTGTGGATCAAACTTTCAAAAGCGACTTGTGCAACTAATTGAATCGCTAGACATAATTGTCAATGCCGCTAATAATGAGAGCTTTTGCTAAAATGATACGGTGGCTTAGAATTAATGATTGATTTGATAATTCTGCGAAATCTGGGTAACCCAGCATCGGCTGTTGAATTAAGATATGACTGTTTCCAGTCGGTATCATAATTTGTATCAACGAGATTATGAACACCATGAGGATTGTTTTGTCGAAGCAATTTAGGTGATGTTGACACGTAGGATTGTAGATGAGCGTCGGCAAAGTCAACAATAGATGTATCCTGTTCTATTCCGTCGGGCAAAGACATTGTGGAATTTAACTGCCAATGTTGTGATTGAGAGTTTGTAGTAGGTATTAGATGTTGTCTAACTAGCATTGATGGTTGCTGTTGAGTATTAGTCTTCTCTTTTCCGAGAAAATGTAACCAATGACCGATACTGGTAATCAGTTGCTCACCATAGAGCTGTCGTCGCCAATTTTCTGGGATATTTTGATAGCCATAGTAAGCACCGGCCAATTGACCGTAGATGGCTGCCGTTGTGTCAGTATCGTCTCCGAGCTGAATTGCGGCTAGAACACCCGTTTTGAATGAGTTCTGATCATAGTAAAAGGCCCAAAGAGCAGCTTCCAGCGCTTTCACTACATATCCATTACCTCGAATTCCATCATCATATCCACGAGGTTGTTTGTAGGAGCCCCGAGCTACCTCAAGTACTTCTGGATGAATATTTTCCGATCCAAACCAAGCTTTGTGATCGTTATAAAACTTATTACTTAAGAGTTTCTCTTTGGACTCACCACTTACAGCCGCAACGATAAGTGCTGCAAAGTATCGGCAAGCATCGCGCGCTATTATGTTTCCATGTGTTAATATAGCGCTGCGTCCAGCATAGCTAACGGCTTCTGTGGGTGACCGAAAATAAAAGAGTGGCACAGGAGCGAGACGCATGAGAGCTCCGTTTCCAGCGGCACCCGCTGAACTACAGCTCAAACTAAAACCATTGGCATTGAGAACTTTCTCAAGTGGAAGTTGATCGACTTCTTCGTCCGTCTTGCAACGATAGATTTCTTTTAGAAAGCTTTGACGATGGCAAAACTCTTCAAGCGCTTCACGAGTACCATCACCAATATCGAAACATTGTCCAGTAGACGAGAGAAAGCCGTATTTATACCACCATTTATAACGAACCATTTGATCATAAGGATCAAAACATTGTTTAGCAATTAGTGATGAAGCAAGACAAAGTCCCATAGATGTATCATCGGTCCATTGACCTGCATTAAGACCCCACGTCCCGCCACTCTGCATTTCAGTAACAGGATTGTCTTGAAGATACTCATGTGGACGAAACTCAACACTGGCTCCAAGTGCATCACCTATGGCCAATCCAACGAGAGAACCAATCACTCGATCAAGAGTAGGTTCTTTTGGTGAAAGATCTTTTGGAAATGTAACTTGAATCTGGTGTGGAAGGACATTATCATATGGAGAAGGAAATTTAAGCATTAGGATGGTGCTAAAAAAGAGTAGAATCTAAAGAGAAAAAGAAAGATAGATGTGCATTTATCATTGATGAGAACAACCTTTGTAAGAATTGGAGTTTTCTCAGCCACTCATAAACGAAGAGCTTTTTCTACTCTTATTACTTTATAAAGTTTGCTGAAATAGTAGAAAATAAATGGTCGAATCTCGAATAGAGGTGATCTTCTTTTTCGCTCGGTTATTATTTCAAAATGTTGTTTACTCCCAAGGACTCTAACATCAAAGATAACAGTCAGCGGTAGTACATAATATAAGTGTAATGCTTCATTATTAAATTTACCCTCAACTAATGAAATATTAATTCGATGACAATTAGTTCAATCTTGAACTACTTGTAATGAAATAGATTTCTTATTAAAAATATGAACCTCGAAATTTTATATTTTTTTTCAGCACACCTGTATTTGAGATTTATTCCAATCAAACGATAATACGAATTATAAAAAAAAGACGTTTTACTAAGAAATATGATATCACTGTGATTGAAGTATAGTTTATTGGATACATCGACTATTTAATCAGAAGAATGTTGCGTTCTTCCAAAAAGTAATGAGCAGAAGTAAACGAGTTGTGTTTATTTTCAACATCCATATTCGAGAAGATCGAGAAAAAATAAAAATGAAAGAAATGATTTCACAAGTTGCTACTATTCTCCTGCGTAGACAGTCTATTCACTCCAGTTACTTGATCACATCTATTTGAATGTATCCCTTCTATCCACAATATTTCTCAAAGAAATTTTTGATCAAACTTTTCTTGCGTGATCATTCTTAAGCTAGCTAATTAGGTATATTTTTAAAAAAAGCAGTGTCATGAAATTTGTGTGTTACTAAGTTACAAGTTTCGATGTATAGATCATTATCTTATTTTCTTTTTAGTCACTTAGCTACTAAAGACTATCATAGTAACCTCAACATGCTTAATGAAAGTTACCAAAAAATGCCATCCTACTTTCGTTTTCGTTACATTTACAAATCACGTTTATTTGCATAAAAATACAATGAATCACAGACGCATGCTATTTATGTCAGAAAAACTAATTTTTAAAAATTGTTTTGTACATCATATTTCTCTTGCAACTTTGATGAACTTTAGTCAATTTTTTATGTTTTCTGTAAATCATTGATTAATCAATATTATGCGACGTGATGTTGAGCGTATTTTACCTGTTCTAACGAGTATATCAAAAGAACGAGTTAATAATTGTAAAATGTGTTTAGAGAACAGAAAGAAAAAAGGTAAGCGTAGGTGATAGTGAAATACACTACTGTCAATTGCTACCTTGAATATACAATTTATTGAGAGCATATAATGTGAAAATTTTTCAATTGAAATTATTTTTTATAACTATTCCACTACCGTTGATTTACCCTATTAGAGTAAAGTGTAGAGATTTTTCAATATGTTTTAAACTGTTTAGATAAAGTACATGTAAGAAAACTCAACTCAGCGACAATTTAGTAAATCGCCAGCAGCACATAACTATCCAATAAAAATTCGAAATAATATCAATACCTTTTACATAGAATAAAATGTGACGATCAGTCTGTGTTACTTTGCGTGATTTTGTTGTCAACTGTCATGATAGTATGCACAGTCCATGGGTGAGAAGAAATTGAAAAATACAGAGAAAAAAAAGGAGAAAAGAACGAACGAAAAATGAGAGCCAATAAAAAATACAGGCATATAACCCATTAAGGTGCTCCCTATTACATTTTCAGTAGGGACAAATTTGGAACTTGAATTGAATTAAAGAATCAAATTATGAGTATCAAGGTCTAAATTTTAACTTTTAAAATTCAATCGTCTATATTTCTATGATACTCATCTTGAGAGAAATATGTGTATTTGAAATTTGAAACTTGATATTTGCAGTGACTGTATATATGTAGTAATGTTTTGGTTGGTCATATTTTGCGCCAAGAAGAGAGTGGATCCATAAAAGTTTATTTATCATAACTGAGATTACAAAAAACACTACTAATGTTGACATGTTTCACTATTATAAGGAGAAAAACAGCGTTACAATGAGTAAGCTTTCTTCACATTGTATCCTATTTGTAATTATAGAAGAAATCGGTGATACTAGATTTATGACAGAAATTCTTTGGTGCAAAACCAATATGATTTATGAGCACATGAAATTAGACTAAAAGTTGATAATATATTTTTGTCCTCTTCATATAACGATCACACCTTCTATCAGTAGATTATATATTGTTTAATAGTATTCTTTTTTTTATCTCAATTTCTACTTTTCAATCAAAATACAATATAAGTTTATTACGCATGCAACTTTATTTTCATCAAAAATGACATATTTGATCACAATTACAACGAGAAATCTCCTTTGACTTAAAAAGCAATTTAACTCAATCGATTTCAGAAGAAAAGAATCATAAGTTCAATGTGAATTTAGGTATTGATTTGACACATGAATTTTATATCAAAATATAAAAGTTATCTTATTTTCTATGAGCATGATAGAAGCAATTTGCACTTGATTCATCCAATTCTGACCTATTTTCAATTTCATTATTCAAAGCAGCATGACCGAGAAACGCAATCGATCAGACTGAAGATCAAATTTTTTTTATATTCAGGTAGTAAATATTCGAAGAAAAAAGTCAACATCATATATTTCTCAAGCACATTTGAACGTCTTCGATGATTGTGTTTGAAAGTTGAAAGAAAATAAGATAAACGTTTCAATCTCTAGAACATAAGATATTTTGTAATTTTATTCTGAACATATACGAAAGTCCGTTTTCATGTGCGCTAAATTTGCCACTTAATGAATTACTTAACTAAGAATTAGATATTATTTCGCCTGAAATATTATCAATTTGAATAACTTCTCGTTCAATTAATCTTTCCAATAGTTGTCGATTTCTTTCCAATTGTAGTGCATCAATCAAATTTTCACCTTTTAAATTTCTTCTTTGCATATCACATTCCATCTCGATTAGAAATTCGACTAAGAATTCTCGACAACCACGTACTTTCAGACAGATATAAAGTAATGGATCATTACCATTTTCATCAATTTGATGAACATTTGGCGGTGATAATTTCAATAGTTTTTTTACAATTTTACATTCTTTCTTCTGTAATAAAATAAATAAAAGATCTGTACTTGTTAACCATGTTCTAAATAGATGGTCATCTAATAGAGCATTAAAAAATTGTCTTGCTGTTCGATTTCTTGTCATTATATTTACATATTTTCGATTATTCCATGAATTTCGAAAGATATTTTGTATGTGTTCATTTGCATCATAAATAGATAACAGTGTATGAAGTTGATTGTTTTCGATAAGATTATCTAGAATTCTTTGAAATATATCACCAAAGTCTTTATCTAATAGTATTTTATCTTCTAGACTATATTCGTTGAGTATTAGATCTAATAGGCCGATTAAACTTGCGTCAAAAAAGATTTCATGATTTCTAACAACATTTCTCGGAATGATGATATTTAATATATCCAAAAGACATACTTTCGCCCAAACTTCTTGTTTAAATACATGTTTCAAACATTGTATGATAAAAAGAAGTAAATCGATGGCAGCTTGATAATATTGCATATTGATAGAAATCAATGTTCGCTCAGTACACATGTCATTTGTTACATTGATTGAATAGCATAGAAAAAAGTGAACACAAGAACCATCACGATAAAAATAATCTTGATTTTTTAAAAGATTCGGATTTGAAATAATGAGTGTTTTGAACATTTGGATGAGAGAATCGATCAACTGCTGACTAGAATATTGAGCTATGTTAAGCTTTGCAAGTAACAATTGATTAATTGCTTTAGCAAGATTAAATTCACAGGATTCGATATCATCACATTTAAGATGAGCACATTTTGTTAAAATAAGTGATACAATTTGTTCCATGTTCTTGATAGATTTGGGACATTTTTGTAAATTGTTGAATGATCTATTTAATTCTTTGTCGATATTTTGCATTTCATCATTCGTCAGAAGTGAACGAATAAATAGAAAACGTTCCATATGAGATTGAAAATCATGTTTCAATCGATTAGATCGTTCTTTTATATGAAAAATAACTAACGATTGAAGACATTGCCGAAGTACTTTATCACTTTTAGTTATTGTCATAGATGATAGTTGTTGAGATATATCATGAACCAATGTAGAATTGTAACAATAATCGATATTGGTGTCACCATGGTGCATATATAAAAAAATCAGTGAATAAATGCAAACGTCTATCAAGAAGAATGTTATTCAGACGTTGATTTAATCCAAGAAATGTTCGGAATATATTACAAACATTACCATAATATTGTTGAATGATCATTAAGATTTCATCAGGCCAAGTTTCAAATGTAGATGGCATTTTGATGCTATGGTCATTATTAATAAACATGAAATAATCACCTAACATTTGTTTGTGCATGTTATTTCACAATATGGATGTCATTCATGATTCATTTGATTTGTTGTAGTTTTTTCCTTCGTTATTCTCTACGTCAATGAAAAAAAGGGATGCTATAATAGGTTAGTATTCGTAAGTCTTCAAGATTTATACGAGAAGTGGAAAAGACAGCGACCAATAGAAAACAATGCTAAACATCGAAGTTCAATGCCATACTTTTACGTACAAATACTAGCAGCTGTCGACGTAAACATAGGTCAACTGTGTCGTCATATTCTGTCTGGTCAGATGGCCTATAATGTTCATAAAAAGTAAATGAAAGCAGTTGTTCTGTACCTACTCGACAAACTTTTCATCCGCTGTCTGTTTTTCTCGAACGATCTGTTGTAACGAGAATATCGTTCAGAACGTGCAATATGTTGTTTGTCGATTCGGTCGTAAGCATAGCGCATAAATTATAGGACTCTTTACACTTCAAGAAAGTCTACTGATGAAATTTGTTGAGTAGTCTCAAATAACAGGATTCTTCACTAGATAAAGAAAACTTTAAACTGTATTTTTTGTTGTCAGAAAAAAAAACTTCGGAAGAATTGCTTTACTTGCTTACATCGCCATGACCGACATTTACAATTCATCGAACTTTATTACTGACGAACTCATATCAATCAATTGAATAATTTTTCAGAGTTATAGGAGTGCAGACTTATCTACCTTTGCCATTTTCGCATTGAGACAATTATTAAGACTAGGAATGTCGTAACAAAGAAGAGAATCAACTATGCTTGTTTCGCTAAAAGTATTGACATTTCTTATACTTTTCCAACGGGTGCTGTAGACAATTAGAATGTTACTTCAAAGCATAGATCCTTCAAACTAAGGTGCGAGTGTGAGTGTAGGTGTGAGTGTGGGTGTGGCGTAGGTGTGGGGTGTGCGTGTGGATATGGATGTGGGTGTGATGTGTGGATGGGTGTGGGTGGATTTCCTCTTCTGTCACATCATACCCCACACCCACACCCACCCCTTAATCTCAGAGAGATTGTGCTAACAGCTTTTTTCTTTACAATGTGAAATTTATTTGGTGTGATTTTAGGAAATTTAGAATTGAAAATGTAAATTACATACTTGCTACTGGATAATAAAATTCTTCATCAATATTGTGATTTGTTTGTATCGATGAGATTGCTTGTGAAAACCGATCATAGAGATCAGTTTGTTGATCATCGAAAATAAAAAGAATTTTCCATTTATAATTCGAATATTCACTTGTTTCAAGTTCAACTTTCAATGAATGAAGTATTTCATTAGCAAATTGTTCTCCAAACGAATGAAAATTTTCCCAATCGGTCGTTGAAAACCAAATAGTATTGATATGATTTTTGCAAAATGTTCTCACTTTTTCAATGTTGTCCAAATAAAACCATTTATTGATTTTCTAAAATCATTATTCGTCTGATTTATATCAAGCTTCGATATAGTAAATGGTGTCCATGGCATAAATAAAATTCCTCTACCAATATCATTCTCAAAATAAAGACCGCGACTTGTTGGATCAATACTTTCTTTTATCGCATCTTTAGCCGTTGTAATAATTAGGATATCTATCTGAAATTATTGTGTGAGAAAATAGATGATTATCAGACAAGAAAAAGAAGACTAACCTTTGATACACGACTATTCGCTGTTCGATGAATTTCGATTTCAAAATTTGAAATAGATACTTTTTTCAATATTGCTATACTTGAATAGAATTGATTCGATTGTTCAATTAAATATCTCGGTGTTAATTCTGTTGTCGATGAATTTATACTTTTTGGTAAAATAATAATTTCATTTTGAATTTTTACATCGATAAAATCGATTTGACAATTGTATCTTTCTGTAATCATTTTCATTTGTGGTTTTTGATCGGTTATCAAAGTATGAGCATTATCAAGGCACTGAAAAACAATCAGCATCGCTTGGAAAGCTAATTCATGGATTAATTGTTTTATTTTCTTTGTCAAGTATTGTGGTGCATCGAAAAAATTTTCAAGTATATTTATACTCACATTATCATCTTTATATTCCAATTCGATATTTTTCGACTGATAAAGACAATGATCCAGAATATATCTAGACTAAAATTAAGAACAAATATTTTGCTTTATTAATAATATGCATTTTCCCTAGACTGAAAGGCTAGGGTCTAGAAACCGAAATTCACCTGTGTCTGTCTGCCTGTCTGTCGGTAACGCGTCAAAATGGCCATTTTTTTGGCACAAACGGCCATTTTTTTACTAAAATTAACTAGGTAACTATGGTACAAATGAGCATGTAACTATGGCACAAACGGTCATTTTTTTGGTACAAACGACCA